TGCAAAAAATAAAAAATACATATGCAAAATGCAGGGTGTTGATCCTAGAACAACTCTTTTATATTAGAAACGACGTTCAATTACAAGGTTGAAACATATCACTGATAAATCTGCACTAATTCTCCTATTTGTTGTACATGTGCTAGCAACTTCATAATCTTCTGGTTTTCTTCAGCCTCAGGCTCCAGTTCTTCACTTACAGTAGCAGCTTCCTGAGATAGGTTGACCAAATATTGAGTTATTCCCCGAGCATGTTCTAGGTAGCAAGCAATAAGGTCCTCTCTTTGCTTAACTCTCGCCTGAGCTTGCTCCCACCGATAATGCCACTTTATAACCCCCTCGTACGAAACTATCAGAAGCTCATTTGCTCACCTCTAAAAATACTGAACCATAACCTCAAGTTAACTCACTCTTTTCTTCAGACTTTCAACCTCCCCACGACTCGATCTACCTTCCCTGCTTTGGTATCGTCGTAATGCATCCTCTAAACTCGAAATCTTTCCCTTCAACTTCTCATTCTGGGTTTGAATCTCTTGTAATTGTTGCTGTAAAGAACTTTTTTCTCTCGATAAAATCTTAACTTGATGCCTACTTTGCTTATGCTTTTCTTGACTTTCTCCGGCTTCTCTCTTTAGGCTAGCCACTTCTTTTCTCCATTCGAAAAAAGACTTACTCAAACTAGAAGATGTTTGAGCTTTTACCATTCGCTGATAAGATAACTGAAGATCGTCAAAGTCTAGCCAAAGCTGCTTCTTCACTTTTTCAATTCGATCTGCTCTACCCTTCTGAATATCAATCTCCAACCCTTTTTGATACACTTCATCTTCAAGCTTTTGCAAAGTCGCTCTCCTTTGTTTCATTTCTGCCTCGAAATCATGCTTAGTTAGCTCTAATGGAGATGGAACCATTCTCAAATGTTCTTCCATAGGCTGAATGTTTTCAGGATTCACCATCGGGATGTTTTCATTTACTCGACTGCTTCTCCACTGCTCGTACTCCTGAGATAACTCGAGATCATAGGTGAACAGATTCATACGACGAGTTTGTTTCTATGCCTTAGCAAACCCCTTGACTTTACTCTTATATTGTTCTCCTTTGAATGCAAAATCTGACCCTGCCAAGTCACATGTGGCTGATATGAACTGCCTTGACTCATACTATCTAGAAACTAGTAGAGGTGCATACCTAACAGAACCCCAGATACCTGGCAAAGGAACCCAATCTCACTCTCCACATATATAAAGTATATCCTAAGATACATTCCACGAAGCTCATCACAAAATATCACCATCCCTGATATCCTTGAAGATAACCATACATTTCTCTTCGGTGAAGCCCCTAGGCCATTCTTTAGAAAGGAAATCCTTAAAAGGTGAAAACCCATCCAGAAACGCTCGTCCTTGTGCTCTTTCAACGTGTTTAAAATGACTAAGAATCCACACTAGCAGCAGGGGAGTACACCCTATAAAGCATCATTCTCCTTCTCGCCTACAAGAACTCAAAGAACGAAACGTATCAGCTAGAATGGATGGAAAATGATCCACATGCTTGTCTAATCATTCAAGTAGGTCGACGACTAATACATCTACATATCCTAGCACATTCGAAAAAATAACGAGCCCATAAATCCCTAGATTAAACAGGTCAAGCTTCTTCCTCTTGTCAGGGTGACGATCAATTACTTCTTTCAGAGCAGTCCAAGAGATGCACTCACTGTCTCGTTTCTTCTTAATGTTTCTAACAACCCAATCTTCTCTCATTTCGGTCATCAATAGCAATTTCTTCTTAAATGAAGGAGTGACTAGCAGCTTGGTATATATTATATCCATTTGGGATCTCAGACAACGGATCAAAGCTCGATACTCCTCTATTGTTGGTGTCAGATCTACTCTACCAAATGTAAAACAGCTATAAGTGGGATTCCAGAACTGCGCCAGGGCTCTAAACAGATTCTGGTCAATTGGAACATCTAGAAGATAAGGAATATCTCCATACAACTGATAAAACATCTCCTTATCGGCTACTTCCCATCTTCCCCATACATCTTTTAGCTCACTCAGATCATTCTGACGTACATTGATGTGAGTGTAACCAAACAACTCTGACATGTATCTGGGCATCAAACTATCTCCATTGGTCAGTTGGGACTATTCTGACCACCTCAGAACATCTGCATTATCTTCAACCTCTTTCTGAAACTTTTATTCCATATTACTAGCCTTTTATATGGACATCGATCCTAAATCAACACCATGAAATGGATAGTGCAATGCAAAACAAAAAGAAATAAAGCAAAGAAAAAAGAAAATCAGTTAGTAAACATAAAACAATTAATCAGGGATAATAATTTGTTCAAGAATCCTACCCACACATGATGGCTACCCAATCATGCTTTATCAGATCCTACCCAAACATGATACCTACCCCCATGCTTTGTTTGAACATTAAAACCCTAACCGTATGATATCTAATTCGCATACTTGCTTGAAAAATAAACCTAATTGCATGATCTCTAGTTCGCATACATTTATTCAAAAAACGAAAATAAATGACCCAAAAAGCTTTTCCTTGTGTACCCTCCTCACGGAACTCTTAAGGTTCGGGTTAGGCTCGACCTAAGTTTGGGCTCTATGTTCACTATATGATGGGTTCGGCTTTAAAGTAATAGGTTCACAAAATTTCCTTGTTGGTGCCCCCTTGGGCTGACAAACCCTCAATCATGACCCATTATAGGCTTTTGGGGATCGAGTTCAATTCGAGGGAACACACCTCCTTATGTCCGTCCGGAGGTGACTACCATCACGAGGACCATAAGGCGTGAGCTCTAGGAGAGATCCACTATCCCATGCGGAGGTGAAAACCACACGAGGGAGTAGTTTCTCACTCCTACTTAAATAAGATAGAGCGGGGTTTTAGCTCATGTTATGTTAATGCAACTGTGCACTGTGTGAGGAAAAGTAAGAAACACTCAATCACAAAACAATAAAAAGTTCTCAATTCCTTTTAAAACAAACGATTAATCTGAAACCATTAGCAAATAGATCAGTATAACTATTTAATGGTTAATCAAATTATGAACAAACAATATTAAAACCAAACAGGAGATCAAAAACCAAACTAGAACGAATTTATAACTTTCAATTGAAAAGACAATTAATTAATCGACTATAGGCTTGACTCTCTTAAAAAGGTCCCTAGTAGAGTCACCAAGCTGTCGAAACAATTTTTTTATTAAAATGAGATTTTTAAAACCACTCCATTTTCTAATTATCTCTTAATGATTAATTTTTAATTAAAAGTGAATGCGATTTAAAAACCTATCGTTTCAAAAAATTTGGGATTTTCTTTACGATAGAAAAATACGGTTTGAGGAGTCGCCGTCAATATTTGATTAGGGTGTGATTGAGTACCCAAAAATGTTTTGTCATTTTAAATAAAAATTAATTTTAATTAAAATAAAAAATTGAGGTCTGCGTTACCAGAAAATGAGTTCGGGTGTCGGTTACGTGTGGGGAAGGATTAGCACCCCCACAATGCCCTAAATCGGTACCTAGTCGATTAATTAATGTCTTTGCAATGAAATTTACAAATTTGAATTTTAATTTGATTTATGATCCCTTAAAGCAACAAAAATGAATTTTACAATGAAATATAATAATATTAAATTATTTCCTATCAAGAAGAAACAAATTCCTCATAACTTGAGAAAATCAATTCTTAATCCAATCGAAATAAAGAAATATTAAACTTTCATTATAATATTCAAATGCAAAAAAATAGATTAAATTAAAATTAGCAAGCCTTTAAGAAAGATAAAGAATATTCGATTATTTAAAAATATCGAGACCAGATCTTAGATAAGTTCTAACAATCTTTTATCGAAAAATTTAAATAGCCGAACATTTCTTTTTCTTTCGTTCCCAAATTTCAAAGTGACTAACCATTTTTTAGGTTTCAATGTTGGGATACACTTTTAATTTAAAATCATCGAAAAACGACTCTCTAATGAGTTAAGACAAGCCACTCAAAACAATTTTAAATTAAAAGGATATTACCCTTAGTCCAATTATGTAATTAGGTCGAGTTATGCACTTGAAGATAACATACAAATTGCGCAAAAAGAATGTCATGCAAAAATTGATTTAACAAAAAATGACTATCTAATTAATAAATAATATATGAAAAATTATCATGCAATAATATTTTAATACCAAAAATTGTATACATTTTTATAACTATACATTATAACCTATATATATATATATATTAATATGTAATATAAAAATGCGACTTAAATGCAAAAATAAAAACATATCAATTAAAAATGCAAAATTTAGAAAATAATCATGCTTATTAAAATAAGGATCAAATCATATTAAACCGAACCTTACTACCTTAAATACTAACAAAATAATGATTGAAATGGACATGTGAATAAATAATGAAACTGAAATAAAACAAAGCACCATCATAAATGACTAAAAATGGAATAAACCCTAAACATACACATAACCAAAAAGAAACATGCAAAAAATATAGAATCCTAATGTCTAACCAGCATAAAGTAAATAAATCAACATATAAGACTAAAAAGAAATGCGCACAAAATAAAGAGATAAAATTGAAAACATGTAAACCTTGATTTGAGGACCAAAATGAGTTATAAAATGCGATGACCTGTAGCTAAATAACCCAAAAATTACAACTAAAACTTAAATTTGGAAAATAATTAAATCGAGACAACCAAAAAAGAGTAAATTCAAAATCAAGCCCTACATGTGACTAAAATGTAAAAATACGCTTAAATTTCAGGGGACTGAAAACCCAATTTTACCTCTCAAATTCGGTGGCTAAAATAATAATTAACCCAAATATTATTATATAAAACCTAACTTTAACATAAACCTAAACTAAACCCAACTAAACACACCCGACCGCCTCTCACTTCCCTCTCCACTCTCTTCTTTATCCTCGACCGAGAGCCCTAAGGGCTTCAACTCATGACGCAGGCATCTTCCCCGGTGGCTACTCCTCGCTACTGTGACAACAAGGTAAGCTATACTAAACCTAATATGCAATATATCCTTCCCTCTCCCCTTCTTCTTAAACAGAGAGTTATGAAACTCTCTACGCCGACCACCGTGCTCAACGGCCACGGTAAGGAACCAAAACCTCCCCCAAAGCTATCATTCTCCTCCAAAATAACCCCAGGAACCAAGACTTAACTTAATCTCACCAAATCGCTACGAACCGAAAAACCTAAGATCACAACCAAAAATCGCTCGTTCTCATCCTCACCTATTGTACCATCGGCCACCACTAACGGTGGCCAGATGATTATAGACTATACACCACAACCCTATAAACAATCCACTCCAACCATTCATACCTAAACCCAAATCTAAACCTGCCTATACTAACCCCGAAACCCCTACCAAAGCAAAATGGTCACCGCGACTCTCTATCGCTCAAAGCCCCCAACGACATAAAGAAACCTACCGACGAAGAAGAAAGGTTAATTTTTCATTAGGTTTTTTCATTTCTATGGACAAGGTTCCATTTCTAACAGCTTCTAAATGTTTTTCCCTCTAGATTACTCTTTCTAAATCGGCCTAAAGATGTTAAACTAACAAGTTTCTAATCACCCTAAGGACGTAACCCTCAACTTTCCGTCAACCATAACAACAGAAATGGCCCTAATCTCTAAGGTAAACATACCACTATTCCTTTATATTTTTGACTTGGTTTCAATTCAAAACATATGCACACACGATAAAATTATGAAAGCAATGGAGAATGGAAACTAAAAAAATACCCTCTTTAATTCTGTGTATTGCTTTGGTTCGCTGAAAAGAGAGAGCTCCTCTGTTTCCTTTGATCTTCGAATAGGAGGAAAATATCTCTTTTTATACACTGTTTTTTTACGTTTGTTGCTCTTCTCAGTAAAAAGAATCAATGGGGGAGAGCCTAATATCTTTACACACACTGTTCTTTATTTGTTGCTCTATTGTGTAAAAAAACGAATGGTAGACTTTTTTTGTGCTTTTCTTTCCTTTCAAATGGTCTCTGGTTCTCCTCGTTCTTCTGGTGATGGCTGATAGTCTCTAGTGGTTAATTGCTAATAAAAACCGAGCCTTTACGGTTTTCTTGATTGCTCAAATATCCCTCCAATTTCGTGCTCCTTTCCCTCTGCTGAGAATAATGGACCCCGATTTTTTGGTTAACTCCTTTTTCACGCTTGTTAACCCCCCATAACCGTCTTTGTTTTCCAGGGAATCTTCACGTGGATTGGAGGATGCTCTGCTGAATCATTGGGCTTGAATTGGGCCTTCAACTGGTTTGGGTACGGTTGGGTTGCAAGTGATTTGCTATAAGCCTTTAAAAAAATGTCACATTTAGTGCATTTTAAATTAACGTTATATATATATATATATATATATATATTTAGTTATATAATTACTTATTCATACTTATATATATAATATGTATATAATTATGATTAAATATAATAACATGTATAATTAGTAATATAATATAAACCCAAACAATATTCGAATGAAATTCGGACAAAATAAATATAAATGTTTCTGAGTTATTGGTTTGCTTGAGATCGATGATTAACAAAAGTGATTTTTTAGTGTTTAGTTGGAGGTTTGATAAGGTTGCTTTCTTTGTGTTTAAGGAGCAGAGAATAGACCTGAAAATGACGAAGATAAGTCCTGGTATCGATGAAACAATGCTGAAAGAATCAATTGTGGCAGTTTCAGCTGATGTGAGCTTTGCTTACGATCACTTTCCAAAGTATAAATTAGGACCCGACAATCAGATTTTGGAAGAGCCAAGAGGGGTTAACAATGGTTCACCGCTGAAGGAGGTTGTTGAAAGGGAAACAACACAATTATCTGAGCAGCACAAGCGACTCTCAGTTTGTGACCTAGCTAGTAAATTCGACAAGAACCTTGCTACTTCTGTGAAATTGGCTGATGAGGTTGGAACCATCTTCATTTCAGTTGCCCCAATATCATCTCAATTATCCTCTTTTTTCCATCCTACTTGATCTGGAATTTTACAGTATCTGAATGGAAAAGAGATCATATGTGGTTTCAACAAAACTTTAGCTCCATCTGTAGTTTCTTTGTTTTAACTCCCTCTTCTTCCATGCATTTTGCGGACGACAATATCGGTATCCGTCATTCCGTCTCATCAACAATGGATGATATAGTGAATAACACTTGTTTTCTTGTAATATGGGCCAAGCTTAGAGAGGTTGCTTCTTTGGAGGGGCATGTTATTTTGAAGAAACTTAGAGACGCCTTAGAGTCTCTGAGAGGTTGTATGGCTGGAAGAAACAAGGAAGATGTAGAGAAAGCTATCTCTATGGTTAGCTGCTTTGCCTCATCATTTCTATATTTTGAATAAAGGTTTTTGTTTGAAGCTTAAAGCATCATACCTATCATAAGAAGCTGTCTTATATGCACAAATTCAAAACAGGTTAATGTTTAATGTTCCACTGCACCACATCATGCATTCATATAAACATGATGCCCTCTTCATTTTCATGCCAAACTGTCAATGTTTTCCATTCTTAAACGTTTTCTCTAAATGTACTTTCTTCTGCTTGATGCAAAATGTCCTATATGATCTCTATGGTATTTCCTTCTGCTTAAGACGTTTTACATAATGATTTTTGTCTATAACTATCCTTTTTCCCCCTTTAATGTAGGTTGATGCATTGGCAGTTAAATTGACCCAAAAAGAAGGTGAACGGATTCAAGAGAAGTTTGAAGTGAAAAAACCGGCGAATTTCCTCAAGCAGGTCAGTTCATGTAAGTCAAGTTTTGGATTGTGTTTTTGATGTATCAAATAAAGATCAGCCTTTTCAGGAGCTATCAGTTTTGATTTTCATTTTTACTGAATCGAGTCCGTTCCTTTATATCTCCAAGCTTCTGAAGATGCTAAAAAGTTGGTAAATCAAGAAAAGTCTTTTTCTTTTGCTGAAATTGAAAGTGCTAGGGCCGTAGTGCAGCGATTTGGAGAGGCCCTTGATGAGCAAGAAAAGAATCCAGAAAATTCTCAAAAAACACAGGTTAAATTGAGCTTATTATGTTAGCTCTCTAATTCATCAGTTTCCAAGATGAGAAATGTTTCTTACTTTGCTGCCAAGTAAATTGTCCAAATCTATACGTCATAACAACTATAATTTGTGGTAAATTAGTACTTTGCAATGTATCTAGCTAGATGCTATTTTAGACCGCCAATTCAGACTAAATTGTAATGCTCTTCATAGACTGTTGGGAAATGTGGGTTGTATTTAACCAAGCTTTCCCTAGCTGCAAGTGGTGTTAACAACCATGAAAAAAAGAGTGTCGAGACCTTAAAACTTGTTTCTCTTATTTTCATGTAAAAGTAGTCCAATGTTTATGTGATAGTGTATTGTCAAGACTATTTTTTTAAAGTACCTGTTTCCAATGTATATCTGCACAAACTGTGAGAACTAAAGAACTGTTTTGATATGAATCATGTGTAGTGAATGGAGGTTAAATTTTACCAATATTTATATTGTGTGCCTCCATTTACAATTGCATTTCATGTATCTAAACTTCTAATGTTTAGTAAGCTTAGCCTATTGTAAACGCTAAAAGTTCTTTCGTACACACAATTCATGTCAATACAACACTTGATGATATGGCTATTGTATACTTCTTTCAGCCAGAGTCTTTTCTGTTTTGACTTCATTTCCTAATAGTAAAATTCAGTTTTTAGCATTGAATTATACTCTTGGATGTTCTTTGGTGTTATAACTGTTCATTTTGATTCTATTTGACAATGAAGGGTTTTAGTACTCATCCTCTTTTGAATTTATATTTGAAATTGACCCTTTGTAGCGTATTCACATGCATGTTTCCTTCCTTTTGTTGTTTTATTTTATGTTACTTGGACCAGGGTGTTTGTCGGATATGGGTATGCATCCGACACGAGTATGGTTAGACTTTTCTAAGGTTTGCTATATATTTGGAGGATCCTTGTTGATCATATCCCCATATCTATGTGTGAGACACAGATACTTCATGAAAAATGAAGAGTCTGACCAACAGAGGTCTTATTTATTCCCTTGTCTACGATGTGATTAGAATAGAGATGCATGTCAAAGATGGATATTTTTGCATCAAGATTGAATATTTTGGTATTAAATGCTTCGCCTCTTCTTCCTCATTATATGACATTGAAGGCGACACTGTTTTGGTATTCTTGATTGATGGGATATAGACATCAGATTGATTGGAAATTGAAAGTGTATCATGTATTTGGATAAGTTTTTAAATCCAATTGTTGGTTTGTCAAAATATTCATTGAACTGGAAGTTATGAAAGAGAGTGACAATTGGAATCGTTAGAACACTACAATCTGATCCACTTTCTCTCACAATATGTATCACGTGTGTGATTAAATGAAAACATATAATGAGAAATCCCTGTAATATAGCCACGCATTTATGATTCAAGGCTAGCAATGCCAGAAATTGCTGCTTAATATTCTCTGTTTCTTTAATCGTTTTGTGACAAACCATAAATCTATTTTCTTGGCGACATTTACATGCATGGAGAAGTAGATGAGGCTTTTGCTAAAGATATGGTTTCTATATAATGGAGCATGAACTTTGTGCCCCCAGAGCTCAAATTCGAGAGAAATCTCTATTCCAAGCAAAGCTTCGGTTGAGTTTTCTTTTTCTTCATTTATTTTTACAACATTCCATCAAAATGAAAAACTCTATTAAAATAACATTGACACACACACATATATAGTTAAATGCAAAACTCTATTAAAATGAAAAATAAACACAAATACTTGGAAAAGAAGAAAGTACTAATGTTGCTATGAAATGTCTGGTATTTTACCTTGGTGAAGATTAGTATTTGCTTTCCAAAGTGCATCCAGCTGACAGAGCCCACAAAACTCTTACCGGAAGTTGTTTGTTTCTGTGAAAGTTGAAAATTTTGTAATATTACCATATTGGAAGGTAAATTCCATTAGCCACTCTGTTCAAAGTTGTTGCTGGACGTTGGTAGCTAATGTTTCGAGTATTGAACATCATGTACTTGCTTCTAAAAGGTCTCTAGTTGGTTTTAAATTCCTCATTAATTATCTTTTGTGACTATCCTTTTTTCCTAGCATGTTGTCTCGTCACAGTACCGATCAAGCCTTAGATACTAGCGAGTGGGATGGTGTGATCTGGTCTATGATAATTTCTGATACTCTAACCTATGCTGGTTAATTACTGCTGGCAATTAACAAGATGGCCGAGAAAAACAAATCCCGTGTTTTCGGTTTTCATGGTTCTGAAACTCTTGGTTCATGCTTATAACTCCAGCCATGTTCTGATAATGCTCCATTGATTTCAAAAATCCTTGATTCAGTGGTATCGAATATCATCTGATGGAAATCGGAGGGAAATGATTTCAGGTATCCTTGCTAGTTGTCCTGATCGGATTTTCAGTATCATACTGACTATAAAACACATTGTTGCTTGTTAACCTGTATCATTTACATTGCATCCTACTCTAATAACTGATCCAATTTTCTGCGTTTCAGGTGCACACAAAACAATGTATGCCCCAGAACCATTTGATGTTGGTCTAATTTTGCAGGCCGAGATTCTCTCAAATGACCAAAAAGTCTCTGTGATAACTGCCAATCCTATTGATTCTGGTTAGTTTTAGCCAAAATACGTTAGTGTATTGATGAATGGGAAAGAAGGCAAGAAAGGCTGAGAAAGTTACTTTTACAGCTGCAGGTTTGGGAAGCTACGTACACTTTTGCGGAAATCTAGCAGTGAATTTAATGTGCGTTTGATTCCTTTCGATTTGTCCTTGGTGATATCATGATCATCATCTGTGTGTGATGATTTGCTAGTGTATGAATGTATTGATATAATACAAAGAAAGTGAAGAAAATAGCTATCCATTGAATGTCATTTTTCCAGAATGTCTCATTGAGTAGTTTGGTTCATCATAAAAATTTTATTCTAGAACCAATTGACATGGTAGGAATATTTGTCTCATCCAATTCTAATCGAAGTTTCTTCATTCCATGTCTTTTCTAGGTAGTCATTTCCCAGATCAATGGACAAGATCATTCATCACGCTCGACTCACACATTCAATATTGGAAAGATGAGGATCAAGCTCTGTAGAGGATGGATCACAAAGTGCAGAGAAAACTATTCCACATCAATGCCGGTGATTATTTTACTCTTCTCTTACAAGTTTTTTATTATTCTTTAAACACTTTCTTACCGTTCTAACATTCTTTCGGATTTTCCTAATGAAGCTATGTGGAGCTAGACTAGAACCAATTGACATGGTAGGAATATTTGTCTCATCCAATTCTAATCGAAGTTCTTCATTCCATGTCTTTTCTAGGTAGTCATTTCCCAGATCAATGGACAAGATCATCACGCTCGACTCACACATTCAATATTGGAAAGATGAGGATCAAGCTCTGTAGAGGATGGATCACAAAGTGCAGAGAAACTATTCCACATCAATGCCGGTGATATTTTACTCTTCTCTTACAAGTTTTTTATTATTCTTTAAACACTTTCTTACCGTTCTAACATTCTTTCGGATTTTCCTAATGAAGCTATGTGGAGCTAGAGGCCAGGCAAATGCTCCGACCAAGTCATTGTTTTGGCAACCAAGGAAAGGGCTCTCCTATGTATTAATATTTGAATCAGATAAGGAAAGAAATGCAACTATGATGGTTGCACGAAAGCACACTCTCGATTGTAACGTACGCTCCTAACAATCTTTTCGAAGAATCTCAGAAATCCTAGTTACTTGCATTTATCTTGATACATCATTTTGGCTGCAGAACTTAACTGAAATGTGAAAGAATATGTTGTGATTATGCAGGTGATGCCGGGAGGACCAGATGACGAAATGTGTAGAAAAAAAAAAATTTATCTAACTAAGAGTCTTATAAATGAGATAAAAAGCAAGGGGTTTTCTTCCTCCATTGAAAACCTCCATAGAAGGAAGATGGCAAAATACTGCCCAGCACTTCCACTAGAGGAAAACTGTGGTCTACACTGCACACCACAAAAGTCGCATTGAAGCAACAATGACGCTTGACCGCTGACGCTAAAGAGGTGGAGATACTAAAAGGCGATAGGAGATGACCTAGTTAGAGGATAAACACGGAAACTCGACTCCGACAAAAATGTGGAAAAGCACACAGGCAAAGCAAAGGTAGAGGAGACTTTGCCTCCCGACGGCAAGTGACCTATGAAGACAAAAGAGGGTCACGCTTCCTAGCTGAAAGGGAAGATGTGAGGCTAAGGATAAACCAAGGAACTTGGTTTTGCAAAACCAGAGAAAAATAAAGGAATGAGAAAACATCATTGCCAAAGATACTTTCACTACAAATATATATTTACAAATACAAACATGGTTTATTTAGACTAGATCAAAATCTTCATAACATAAATTGCATACTTCGACATACACAACCTGTGCTATTTGTCACAAATATTAGAACCAATCAAGCGATATTCTAAAGATGGAAAATTTGTTAATTACAAATTATATCGAATCCATGTTTTAAACCTTCGATTCATTCTTCGCAAGCCATCAAACTTCAATCAAGGCAGAGCAAAATAGGAGGGGCAGCATTCGAATCGATTAGTTTTCTGCTACCATACACTGTTACATTGATGATAACAGATGTTTCAATATGAGGCCACACGAGGAAAAATGAAGTGATTAATATATAAACTCAAATCAAGTGAGACACTAAGGAAATAAGAATTATAAGTACTCTTGCACTTTTGAACCTAAGATGAAGAAATCATTACCAAAGAAGCTATCTTGTTGAAGCTAACAATAACCATCCGCATTATATATGCTTACTTGATCTTTTGTGGAATTTTCCACTTCCTCTTCCTCTTCCTCTGTGAGATTTTACATTTAATAATCCTCAAGAGAGATTAATATCATTTATGATAGAGAAAAGCAAAAGAATAAATTAAAATGTAATTAGATTTATCTGGGCGTCAGAAGTAGAAGGTTTGCTTTGATCTTCTTTAGAATTCTCACCTTCCTCGTTCATTGCATGCTGTAACGACTACCGGGTGAATACCATAATGAAATATATATTTTATGTTACCATGTACACTCATAGATTTGTATTAGATGCAATGACCATGTATAAGTTCATACACAATCTGTGAGTTATAATACATAACTTGTATAAATCGTACATTTTTTAATTCGTATATCTAACGAAATTTGGTCCTCTGTTAATATAATATGAACCTGCATTAATGGATTTTCAATTTGCTGGTAAAAACAATTTAAAAATATTATATTAACTAAGGGATTGAAGATTCATAAGTACATAATTTTATATGTTACAATGTACACTCATAGTTTTGTACATTTTTTGTGAGTTATAATACAAAACTTGTATGGATCGTACATTTTTTTAATTCATATATCTAACGTAATTTGGTCCTTTGTTAGTATAATATGAATCTGTATTAATGGATTTTCAATGTCATTATGTTTGTATAAGATTTATGCTAACCTGTATGAATGAATGTGTATATATTGTTTGTAGTGAGTAGAATGTAAAGGCAATTACAACAAATTTGTAAAATAGTATATAAAATGGAAATTTGAGGAAACATACCTTTTCTCTGAATAGGTGTTGTATGGTGCTGTTAAGGCTACCTTCCAAAAGCTCTTTTACTCCCCAGCTCTTTAACCGTACTTTGTGCAACATTGGAGTGTTTGAGTGTCCTTGAGAGAACATCTTCATCTTTGGGCAATTTTCTACAACTAGATCTTCCAAGTATGGGAATGAAAAGGTATAATTCCCTGATGAGCAGAAGCTTTCTAGCTTTGGTAGATCTTCAAGTGCCAAACGGTTGAGTAGGGGGAAACTGAATTCACCGTGATCATCCCCACCTTGTATTATCTCCTTTATATTGCTGCAACGGGTTATACTCATTTCTTTGAGATGCACTAGACTTTTGGCTGTGGGATGTGTGATTAATTTTATGATTCCATCGCATCTCTCTACTTTCAAAGTCACCAGATTTCGGAAAGATGCCGAGGATGGAACCAGATTACCTTCTAATTTATGACACTCGTAAACATCCAAAATCCTTAGATTTGGGAATCCTTCCTTTTCCTTCCATAGATGCATCAATTCATGAAGAAAATACAGATTTAATTCAGTTATCTGAGAGAGTAGCAGCGATGCAGGCTTTTCCTCACCACCTTCTTCACTTTGGAATCTCATTTCTTTAAAAGATGAACAGATTATTTCAAGTGTTTGAAGATTGGGTAAGGCTAATAAATGGAACAAGTATGATGGTAATAGGGTTAATTGCTCCGGATACCCGTAAAGATTGACGACTTTCAGGTTGGGCAAGCAATGAGACAAAAGTTGATGTTGTTGTTGGGCTTCGCAATGACATATGATGTCTTTGATTCCAGCATTCCATCCCAAAGTCAATTCATGTAAATTCTGAAATGTAGACTGCACAATTCCCCATTGTTTGGGAAAAAAGAGTAATTCATTCACCCAAAACAAATAAATAGATCAAATCGAATAAATAAATAGTTTGGGAATTAGGATGATACCTCGTTCACCCAAAACAGGGGATGATGACTATTGTTTCCACTTGTTTCTTGACAAGCAAACAATATCTCCACTTTGTCACATCGACTCACATCCAGCTTCTTCAACGAGGGCCAATTTATAGTATGCATTGTATGATGGATACTTCTTAAATTTGGCAATCCACTGAGATCCAAGGATGTCAAAATTGGAAATTCAAATGTAATAACATCTGATTGGATGAACGAAGAAGAAAGTGATGTCATCGCTCTACTGCTGCCTCCTTCTTGAGATTCAGATTCAAATATTATTTCTTCCACTGATTCACAACCCACTATGCACATGTAGTCAAGCCTTTGAAGTCTTGTCAACATACTCAACGGAAAAACATTTAATAGCTTACGACAATACTTCAGATGAATGGAAGTTAGTGTAGAAAAGGAATGTTGAGCAAGCTGGTCACACCATAGCCTCTCCAAGTTGCCCATTTTACAAATTTCCAATTCCTCTAGCACAGCAAGTATAACCTACATACGTAATTCATGTTTTACTTCATTTTCTTTTCTTTTTTTCAATTTTCTCATAAATCCCATCATCATGCATCCAACATTAAAAATAATTTTAAACTTTTTGACTCTAAAATGCTGGATTGTCTTACAATATTTGTGGTGTAAGAAGCTAATTTTACAAGGAACAAACTCTAGAACTGCAAATAGGCTGCATATGATTGGTTTTTTGTTTTCTTTTTCCTCTAAAAATATTGTTTTTATATTTTTTTACAATTAATGATTTTTTATTAAATTAAAATAGTAACTATTTTTTATTCCTGTATGTATTACCACTAAAACCAATAACTAGAAGTGAAACAATTCTTATATATTAAAATATATGCTTTTTTCCAGATAGGAAATATCTATGTATTCATGAATAATTAAAGCATACCTTTTCATTGAAGAGATAATTTGGCGGCGCTTCTCCGCTCTTTCCACTATCACAAAGGAACGTTTTCAATTCAGGACATCTTTTTAGCCTTAACTCCCTTAGCGAGGGAAATTCAATTGGATAACTTCCACTGCAAAATCTTTTCGATTTTGGAAGCCCATCGAGACACATAAAATGAAGTTTAGGGAACACACTTATGCTGCCTTTAATCCTTTCTTCTTCTGTTGCCGCTAATGTTCCTTCTATTATCTCTTCCATTTCATCACATCCAGAAACATAAAGTGTTTTCAGATGCACTAAGCTTTTAACCATAGATGAAGTAAATACGTACTTCAACTTATTGCAACCGCACACATTCAAATCTCTTAAACTTTGAACCCCAAAAGACATTCCAGAAAGTTGATCATCAATATGCCATATTTTCTCAATGCCACCCACGAACTTTAAGCACAACTCCTCCAAGGCAGGACAGGACACCTGCAAATATATAAAACTCACGTTTCATATCCCATCATTAATAGTAATTCTTTCTTAATTATCATGCAGAACATATAGTTTATTTTAGAAAGTAATAAGTTTTTTTTAAATATTACATAAAGATAATAAAAGACATGAAAAAGAATTCTTATAATAATGTTTTATAATTATTTTAAAATTTAATTTCTTAAAAAAAATTAATTGAATCGATGTCACTTAACTTGCCGCATCATAAAATAGTGAATAAAAATATAATATTTTATCTAATTTAAAGGAAAAAGCGTGAAAAGACATCAAAATATAAAAAATTTGATGTACATAATTAATAGACGAAAATAAGATAAATATAATTACCTTTTCATCAAAAAGCCATGAGCCATTAAATTTTTTCAGTCTTTCTAACTTTAAGAAGCGTAGCTTACTAAATTCCAAAATGTCATTCTCGCTAATCTCTTCCTTTTCCACAATTAACTCTGTGAGGTTCATGCAATCTGATACCTCAAGTTCTTCAAGCAGACGAAGTCTTTTGGCTATGGAAAATGAGAACAAATTCTTTAACCTATGGCAGCTCTTGACTTTCATGAATTCTAATTGCCCCAAAGGTTCAACACTTGGGTAATACAGCATTTCCTCAACATCTTCCAATCCCTCGAGATATAAACTTTGAATTTTTCCCAACAGCAATTTAATCCCATTGACCAAATGAATAATTTTATTCATACGGAGCTTCAACATTCTTGATGTTTTCACCCCCTTAAAATCAAACCGATTCCACGTCTTATTTCCAATTGAAATCTTGAACCTTTTCATCTTTCCGAGAAACAAGTTATCCTTTGGTATGGCTTTCGCATGACGAATATGTATTTCCAAAGTGGTTAGACGAGACAAATGATGCAACTCAACAAGACTAGCTTTGCTTCTTGGATTCTCAATTCCCTCAACCTCCCATTTGTCAAAGCTATTGTATAGGTATAGTTCTTCCAATCTAGATAAACTTGACAACACATTCGGTGATATTACTTTAAGACGACCACAATTAGTCAAGTCTAGTAATTTTAGCCTGGTCAACTGTCCTATCTCCTTTGGAAGCATTTTCATTCTAGATCCACGGAGGTCAAGGATTTCTAAATTTCCCAACTCTCCTAAGATGGCTATATCTTCTATATCACAGTACATTAAACGCAATGTACATAGAGTTTTCAAGAAACCAAGAGAGAAAGGCAAGGTTGTAAAATTTGTTCTACCAAATTCCAAGACTTTGAGTCTTTGCATCCCCTTAAAAAGGTCATTTGAAATTTTCAAAGACGAAAAACGATACATACCAATTGAGAAATAATTAAGGGTTGGACATTCTAACTCATGATAAAGAAGCTCATTGACCTCCGCATTCTGTAAGCTTATCAGCTGGCTTTCTTTCATTTTCTCCTCATTTGGTAACTCTTTGAATAAAGCTAGCCAATGTCGATCCCTTGAAGCTATGGATTGGGCGACATCACGTACAACGTCGTGCATGTCAAAACAGTTTGGGTGAGAACCTTCGAGTAACAAACAAGAGGCAGTGAGATTGTTCACCAATGTCAATACTCTATCTCGACTCTCTTCCATGGTGTTAACATCATGGATAAAACCCAAACCAATGGCATATCTCAACAATTCCTCCACGGTAGCATTATGACGCATTATGCTACAGAGTAAAAAGATTGGCCCAAGTTCACCATCTTCTATAAACTTATAGCTAAACTCTATAGCTGAATATGCACCTGCTGGTATGCCTTTGAAGTTTCTTTCAGAGGGCTTACTTAGTTGTCGCAAAGCATCCCTCCATTCAAACAACTTATCTTTAGGCTTTAAAGCCTTTGCAATTGTAGCAATAGCGATTGGCAGTCCTGCACATCTTTTGGCAACCTCAACTGCTATAGACCGTATTTCAGAGCTTTCAACAATATGACCAGCCATTTTTTTGAACAGGTTCCAAGCTTCATCTTCATTCAATGTTTCAATTGGAATGTTTGGATGAGAATCCATCCTTTTTAACACATCAAGCCTCCTAGATGTCATCAATATCTTGCATCCCCTGTGTTGGTCTGCTGAAGGAATTCCAAGTGTGTCCACTTCCTGTTCCTCCCAGATATCATCCAAGATGACAAGAACCTTCTTGGCTTTCTTCAGTCGATCGCATAGCCGGGCTGCTTGCACATCAACGCTTGGGTTGTTGTCTAGTTTCATTCCTAACTGATGAGCAATCTCATTTTGAAGATCTACTGTCTTTGGAGTTTGTGTTACAGCTACGAAGATCACCTCATCAAACGACAGTTTCACCTTGGCTTGTCTGGCGACCTCTTTGACAAGTGTGGTTTTACCCACACCTCCCATCCCGTACACTCCAATTTTACTGACAGTATCATCTTCCAATGCTGCCATGACCCCATCAAAAGCAAAGCTTCTTGATCCGAAGGCCTCGTACTCTTTGACAGGTCTGATAATATCTGTCACTTCAACTGCAGGAAGGTAGGAAACATCCTTAAATGCATCCTTTTCAGTCAGGAGTTGAGCTATGGCATTGACCTCCTTTTCCGCTTTCCTGCTGAGCTGATAACGGGACTTGAAATCGGGGCAAAAGCCGGCGAAACACCTCTTGGTTGCTTTCTCTTCATCCTCCCGCAACTGCTTTGCGGCCTGCTCGGAGATCTTCTCATCGGCCACTGTCAACCACCTTTGAACATCTTCAAAAATCACCTCCCCCTTCCTGGTAGCCGCTTCAATAGATTGTTGCACCCTTTCTCTTGCACCCTCCAGGTCTTGAACTTTAGTCCGGAGGTTCAGAAACTTGGTCTTATGCTTGAATAAGTAACCAAGTTGTCGTGCAGTGGGATCGACGGTGTACTCAGCAGCTTTGGCAGCAAGAGATCCGACAATGGCAAAAAGAACCTCCATCTTTTTCCTTGAAAAGTCTATAAGAAGCAGAACAAACTCGAGAACAACTGGGAAGCAAACACATATTGAAGAAGGAAACACATAGCATTATCATAATTAAAGATGAAAAAAATAGGGAATCAGCAGTGAGTTGAAGAAATCATACCTCCTAAGATTGATTTGTTGTTATCCCAACAAACACAAAACAAATTGAAATTGCAAACAGATCCCAGAACCAAATGACTTTGAAACAGAGAGAATGAAGTTAGAAACTGATACAAATTGTACAATCATATCACCACATTAAGAAAGCAAACCCTCGGGATAACAACATATTGAAGAAGGAAACACATAGCATAATCATAATCAAAGATGAAAAAAACTATAGGGAATGAGCAGTGAGTTGAAGAAAGCATACCTTCTCCTTTAGTTCAATGTTTGAGAAACAAAACAAAGTGAAGTGGGAAAGTGATACTTCTCCTACAATAATATCACCATATTTACTTTAATGTTGCCTCGAATAATATATTCCCAAACAGCAAGTCTTGGTCTTCCATTATCAAAACTTTTACTTTTACCTTTTTATTTTATATGATTAAAAAAAATCAAAGTGAGTCTCGGTGTTTCTTGATGTCATTCAAAGTAAAGTTATATTCTTATTTTAAAAAAATCTCTGACGATCATCTAAATCTATATTCATTTATATAATCACAGCTTCTAACAATAGGTATAATTATCAATCAATAATTATTAAATATATGTATCAAATGTTAAATATAATGATAAGATATATTTTGTTATTAAAAAAATAGTAAATTCAAGTCTCGAAAACAATATTATTAAGAAGGAAAACTAGATGCTTTAAATATATATTTTTAAGTTTTTTTTAAAAAAAAAACCATATATTCGTTTAGCCAAAATTGACATATGGTAACCGACTACATCCAATATATTTGTAAGTGAAATGTGGTATAATGCAATGACTAGGGTAAATGAGACGAGAAAGATCGCGAGCTACTCAAGATCGATTCGGTTAAAGCTTGATCAACACTCGAATCGAATGAACTCGACCCGAGTTCGAACTCGACTCAAATTCTTAACGAGCTAAAATAACCTACTTAATAATCGACTCGAAAAGCTTGCGAGCTACTCGAAAAAAATGTTATATTATAATTTTAGATTTTTTAAAATTACATTATTAAAAATATATTAAAAATACATTATTTATAATTATAATTTTTTAAAAATATATTTTTAAATGTAATATAAGATTTTTGTAGGTTCAAATTCGAGTTTGAGTTCGAGCTTGAATCGAGCTTGAATCGAGCTCAAAACCGAGCTTCAATCGAGCTCGAGTCTCGAGCTTCAATCAAGCTCCTGAAATTTTTTTGAGTTCGAGCCTTTTCGAGTTCGAGTCGAGTTTCAATATTATATTTCGAGTTCGAGCTGAGCTTAATAATTTTTAGCACACGAGTTTTCGAGTCGAGCCTAATTTTAAACTTTTCGAGTTCGAGTCAAGCTCAGCAATACTCGAACTCGACTCGGCTCGTTTACAGCCCTAACAAGGACAAAGGATATTTTTTTATATTTAATCTCTCTTTCTCAAAAATATTGTGCTGGTTTAGTTTATGATTTGAAATTTTAACTAAAAGTAATTTAGAATGCACTTTTTTTATTCTATTACCATATATTATATGTTAAAGATGAAGGAGCTTTTTTTAAGAAAAAAAAGGTATTATTGCTCTTTAGAAAAAGAAAAAAAAAGAGATGGGTTGATGAGTGCTCAGAATCGTTAATCTTTGCTCGTTATTTCTTTGATTTTGTGGAATTATTGTTGTTGATTTGGTTGTGTTATGCATATTTTCGTGCAGGTCCTTACTTTCCAGAATTAGTGATAAAACGGGCGCGATCTGCATTTTTTTTATTATTTGGTCACGGCTGGAGACATGGGCATGACTCTGGGCACGACGCGGTCTGAAGTGGCAGTTTCTAGAAGGTCCAGTCAGCGACGGTTTCTAGAAGACTTTCTCCGCACGCCTTCTGGAAGATTGATGAGCAGAGTTGCATTAGGAGACTAGTTTTAAGTTTGAATTTAAATAAAAACAATTATCTTTAGGATTATTTTATTTTCTTTGTTTATCCTTAGGCTTTGAGAGGCTATAAATACCCACTTGGGGTAAGCCTAAACACATCACTCAAATTACAATCTTCTTTTCTCTCTAGTTTTATTAAAGCTTTCTCTCTAGTTTTATTAAAGTTTTCTCTTTTTACTTTTCAAGTTTTTATTTTTCTTTTACTTTCATGTTTTGTTTTTAATATGCTAAGTATGACTTTTGTCATGCTTGGCTAAATTTTTCATAAGCCGAGAGCTGAAGCGATGACTCAATTCCAACGGGAGAATTGAAACAGGCCCTTAATATCTTAGGAATATCTCTCAATCTCTCTTATTTTTCAAAATCAAAACAGTTTTCAAAATCAAAGATTGACTTTGATCAAGAGGTTGTTGCGATTAAATGTGTGAGAAGAAGATTCGGCTTATAGAAAGCAAATTCGACTTCCTAGGAACACACGTGGCGAGATGGCTTCGCCAAGAGGGAATTGAGATCAGAATTGACGGTTATTGAAGCAACAATCCGAGTCGGTCGCCACGAACTTAAACGGTAATTGATTTACGACAATTAATGTTGATTAGATCAATTTTCGAAGCTGGAATCAAAGATTGCCTTGGGTATTCGGTATATAAGATAGAGTCACGGGGATAGCCCTTGTAGACAAAGTAACCGACGTGAATCCCGAAGGGAAAATTTAATTCTATGATCTAAAAGAAATTGAGTCAAAGCGAAGCTTGAGGTTGTTTTACCAAATCTGTTTTCGACTTTTAATCTTTTCTTATTTTTTTTACTTCAAATCGCCTTTATTATTATTTAAAAATCCTTTTACCAAAATCCCCCATATTTTACTGTTTCACGCCTGGTTTAAACAATTCAGACAAAAAGTTAGAATTTTCTAAGTCCATGTGGAATCGACCCTTATTTCTCTCTACTACGTATTTCCTTATTATTTAATTGAGAAAAATGAATTTATTTTAACATCGAAAACGAGAATTGTCAAAGCCAAAGTTACTAATTTTTGTTTGCTTTTGATTTATGACCAGGACTAATCCGGGCGAATTAGTGGAGTACGACCCGGAGATCGAAGCCAAAGCTAGGAGACTCCACACACAGACACTTCGGGAAAGAAAGAGACAACAAACAAATCCAAAAGAATAATCAAATTCAGGTGATACAAATCCGATGGCCGAACCTACTATCCGGGAGTTAGCCGCGACACCCACTGAATAAGAGCCTTTATGCATTGATTTTCCCCAAGGCGAAACTCCATACCAGTTAAAAACTGGCCTTATTCATCTACTCCCTACATTCTGCGGATTACCAACCGAGAATCCACACAAACATCTCATGGAATTTCATATGGTCTATTCCAGCATAGACCACAGGGAGTAACCGAGGACCAAGTCAAACTTAGAGCTTATCCTTTTTCCTTAGCTGATTCGGCTATTCTATTACTACATGGGCTCAAATGACTCATCTTTTTCTTGATAGGTTTTTCCCTACGGCGAAAGTAAGTGAACTACGAAGGAGAATACTTGGAATCAAGCAGCTTGAAGGAGAGTCACTTTATGACTACTGGGAGCGGTTTAAGAAGTTATGTTCTAGTTGCCCACAACATGGGTTAACCGAACAAACACTCCTCCAATACTTTTATGAAGGATTATCTCTCCTAGAAATGAAGATGATTGATGCTGCCAGCTGCGGAGCCTTGGTGAACATGACTCCTACTGAGGCTAGGGACTTAATTTCCACAATGGCTGCAAATTCCCAACAATTCCGCAAAAATAATGAACCTTCTCGAAGGGTTCATGAGATAAGTTCATCTTCCTTAGAAAATAAAATAGATAAGTTAACTGAAGTCGTCAACTCTCTTGTTGCAGGAAAGATAAGACCAAACCAATTATGTGGAATATGTGCATTAACTGATCATCCGACAGACGGTTGTCCACTGATTCAAGACGACGATGCAACTCAAGTCAATGCAGTCGGGAAATTCCTGGGACCTCCCCAAAGAGCTTATAATCCATACGGCAATACATACAACCCAGGATGAAGGGATCATCCGAACTTCAATTATGCTCAGAACTCAAGACCAAATCAAGGTTATCAAGTGAGACCACCTCAACCACCACAACAGCTACAGAAGACATCACTAGAGTCGATTGTCGAGAGGTTAGCACTTTCCCAGGAAAAATTCCAGACTCTACCTGAATCCCACTTCCAAGAGATGGACAAATAGATAAGCCAACTGGCTCAAACCGTATGCCGCTTGGAATCACAAGGTAAGATTCCGTCCCAAACCGAGGTAAACCCGAGAGACAATGTCAGCGCCATCACTCTTCAGAGTGGTACAATAGTGGTGTCACCTGCTCCATCAGACGAAGCAATCCAAAAAGAGAAGAAGACTGATGATTCAGGATCCCAGAAAGAGAATTACGAAGAACAAATAGATGATCCGACGCCATCTCCCTATGACATGCCACCGCCTTTTACATCGAGGTTAGTTAAAAAGGATAAAAAAAACTGAGGAAAATAAATATTAGACGTCCTTCGGAAGGTGGAAGTTAACATAACTCTCCTTGAGGTTATCCGGAAATTTCCAAGGTATGCCCGGTTTTTGAAGGATCTTTGTATGACTAAAAGGAAGCTTAACGGGGTCAAGAAAGTGAATTTAGGAGAACACGTCTCAAACGTTTTCCAACGAAAGTTACCACCTAAACTAAAAGACCAAGGTATGTTTGCAATACCCTGAAAAATTGGTAAGGTTTAAATTAAACGAGCCATGTGCGATCTTGGTGTATCAATTAATGTAATGCCTCTATCTGTTTATAAAATGTTTACTAACGATCCTTTGAAGGATACAAAGATCTCGATACAGCTTGCCGATAGGTAGGTGATCTATCCAGAAGGACTCTTAGAGAATGTATTGGTAGAGGTAAACGACATGATATTTCCCGCCGATTTTTATATAATCGAAATGGAGAATGATTGCACAAGCACGCCCTCTGATATCCTGCTGGGGCGCCCTTTCCTAAGCACTGCACACACGAAAATTGACGTGAGAAGCGTAATTTTAACTATGGAATTTGACGGTGGTATCGTTAAATTTGATGTATATAAGCAATGAAATATCATGATAAAGTGGAAAGTCTAAATTCTGTCGATTTAATTGATCCTTTGGCTGATGAATTTTTAAGGACTAATTTTTCCTTTGATCTATGTAGAGAGCTAGAGGATCATGACGAAAACGTGAATTCTGATCATACCGAATTGAATTTGATTTCTTTTAAGCCTAAAGTCTTACCTTTTGT